TGTCCCTGTCCCGATCCCTGTCCCTGTCCCTGTCCCTGTCCCTGTCCCTGTCCCTGTCCCTGTCCATGTCCCTGTCCCTGTCCCTGTCCCCTCCCTGTCCCCGGTCCCTGTCCCGGTCCCTGTCCCCAATGTCCCTGTCCCCAATGTCCCTGTCCCTGTCCCTGTCCCTGTCCCTGTCCCTGGTCCCTGTCCCGTGTTCCAATCCCAATCCCTGTCCCTGTCCCTGTGTGTGTCCCTGTCCCCATCCTATTCCCATTCCATCCCTTTCCCCATGCCTGTCCCCACGCCGTGTCCCCATCCCATGTCCCCATCCCCACACTGTGTCCCTGTCCCCACGCTGCGTCCCCTCGCCGTGTCCCTGTCCCCATCCCCACGCCGTGTCCCTGTCCCCACCCCATGTCCCCACGCCGTGTCCCCATCCCGTGTCCCCATCCCGTGTCCCCACGCCATGTCCCCATCCCGTGTCCCCATCCCGTGTTCCCGTCCCCACCCCGTGTCCCCACACCGTGTCCTCATCCCGTGTCCCTGTCCCATGTCCCCACACCGTGTCCCCATCCCGTGTTCCCGTCCCCACGCCGTGTCCCCATCCCGTGTCCCCTCGCTGTGTTCCCGTCCCCACGCCGTGTCCCCATCCCGTGTCCCTGTCCCGTGTCCCCACGCCGTGTCCCCATCCCGTGTCCCCATCCCGTGTCCCCGTCCCCACACCGTGTCCCCATCCCGTGTCCCCATCCCGTGTCCCCATCCCGTGTCCCCACACCGTGTCCCCACACCGTGTCCCCATCCCGTGTCCCCACACCGTGTCCCCATCCCGTGTTCCCGTCCCCACGCCGTGTCCCCTCGCCGTGTCCCGCAGAGCCTGGAGCCGCTGGACCCCAGTGAAAAAGCCAACAAGGTCCTGGCCCGGATCTTCAAGGAGTCGGAGCTGAAGCGCCTCAAGGTGCTGGGCTCGGGCGTCTTCGGCACCGTGCACAAGGTGGGGCTTGGGGTGCCACCCCATGGATCCCCCCATGGATCCCCCCATGGATCCCCCCATGGATCCACCCATGGATCCCCCCATGGATCCCCCCATGGATCCCCCCATGGATCCCATCCCATGGATCCACCCCATAGATCCCACCCCCATGGATCCACCCCATGGATCCCATCCCATTGATCCCATCCCATAAATCCCACCCCATAGATCCCACCCCATGGATCCACCCATGGACCCACCCCATGGATCCCCCCATGGACCCACCCCATGGATCCACCCCATGGATCCACCCCATGGATCCCATCCCATAAATCCCACCCCATTGATCCCAGCCCATGGATCCCCCCATGGATCCCCCCATGGATCCCCCCATGGACCCACCCCATGGATCCACCCCATGGATCCGCCCCATGGATCCCATCCCATAAATCCCACCCCATTGATCCCAGCCCATGGATCCCCCCATGGATCCCCCCATGGATCCCCCCATGGATCCACCCATGGATCCCCCCATGGACCCACCCCATGGATCCACCCCATGGATCCGCCCCATGGATCCACCCCATAGATCCCACCCCCATGCATCCACCCCATGGATCCACCCCATAGATCCCATCCCATAGATCCCACCCCATTGATCCCATCCCATAAATCCCACCCCATGGATCCATCCCATGGATCCACCCCATGGATCCCATCAATCCCACCCTCACTGATCCCATAAATCCTACCCCATAGATCCCACCCCATGGATCCACCCCATGGATCCACCCCATGGATCCATCCCATGGATCCACCCCATAGATCCCATCCCATAAATCCCACCCCATTGATCCCATCCCATAAATCCCACCCCATGGATTCACCCCATGGATCCACCCCATGGATCCCATGGATCCCACCCCACTAATCCCATAAATCCCATCCCAAATCCCATAAATCCCATCCCAAATCCCATCCCAAATCCCGCCGCTCCCGTTACCGCCCCGTGGCTCCGGCCCCGCAGGGGATCTGGATCCCGGACGGGGATTCCATCAAGATCCCGGTCAGCATCAAGGTGATCCAGGGCTGGAGCGGGCAGCAATCCTTCCACGCCGTCACCGACGTGAGCGCCGGGCACCGGG